GGATCAAGACGCGTCGGTCAGTCGTCAGTCCTCAAGATGTCAAAGGAAGCACCTTCAATACTTCACTTCTCACGATCCGTACAGGGCATGATATGTCTATTTCACTCTGCTCAAATTCTTATTTTGTTTGTACCCCGACATATGCTCCCAACACTTGCTTCGCCGACACTGATGATATGCTACCAATCAGGAGCTCGAGACCATCTCAAAAGAGAAGGTTCAGTTGGCAGCTGTAGTGAAGCATTTGAAGTTAGCATCTGGGCTGGAATTTTCTGAATCGAGTTGCATCGATCTTCTAGTCAAGTTGTGTGCAAAACGGCTGAGGTGGCACATCCACAGGTGAGGGACGTGGCCAGCTGGGCTGGAAACGTGATGATAGCCAAGACCCATCCGGATTTCCCCAGTGACATTTGCTTGTTGCTCAGCACTTTGGGGGCGAAGCTCACCTTGATGAATGCCTCCAAAAAGACAGAGACCCTTGGCACAAGTTGGATTTGGTCTTGGTATGTCCACGTGCAGCCATAAGGTGGAGCAAACTTTGTCAAGTTAACACGCTGTGTTTTGCTTCACTCCAAGAATGGCCCAGGGTGGTGGAGATCATTTCGTTCCTGTCAGATTCAAGCTTACCACGTCAGGCCCTTCGGCAGAAAGTTTCATAGCAAGATGCCAAAGACATTGAAGCATGAAACATCATGAAACAATTGAATCTAATTTGAAGCAATTGTGGTATAATCTACTACTACGGCCTTGGAGGGGTGGCTTAGGGTGTGGCAATGTGGGGGGTGGTTCCGAGCACCTCAGTGGAGTGACATCCGAGGTGTTCTTCTTGCTATTCGTGCTTCTCCCAATTCCGGTCGGTCCTCTCCTAGTAGCTAGGGCATTATTACTAGTATATAACAAGAAGCTACTTGCATCGCTATTCACGAAAGGTAGCCTGGTAAGGACTACCTTGAGTTTGCTTTGCGAAGCAAAGGGACTGGCTTGAGAGCCTGCTCGGGACTAAAGATTGGTAGATCAATGTCTAACACCCCCACCCCCCTTCCCCCCCCCCTCCCATGTGATGATTTATTGATAAATCAATTCATTCGACCCCCCCCCCTCCCCTCCCCTCCCCTCCCCTCCACTCCCCTCCACTCCTCTTCCCGTCCCCTCCCCAGCACTACTAGCAGCACTACTAGCATTCTGAACACACCATCACACCATAAGGTGCAGTCATGCGCTTAGCAGTCACAGCAGCACGACGCTGGTGGCCATGAGGTTGCGCAATACAGCACGAACCCTGCACAATGAGGTTGCGCAATGCGGCTTCGATGCCGCGCGTGCGCGTGCGCGCCCGGCTGCCTGACACAGCGCGTACTGCATTCACAGACCATATTGCTCGACACCGACGAGGATCGATGCAACACAGCCTCTCCGCAAAGCCCTGTGGAGAAACCTCTCGCTTCGCGGAACACCCTTCGACTCAGCCTTATATCCTAGCGTGGCGAAATCTTACCGCATTGTGGAGCACCACTACACGGCTATTTACGCGCCCTCCCATCAGCCACCCACCATAGTGACGTCCATCCCTGGCAGTACCGGCCGCACCCCTCTAGCACTGTCCTTGCAAGAGGGTTGGTCACTCCGGCTTCGACGCAACGCGTGCAGGCCTGTAATCCTGACACAGTGCGTGCAGCTGTGGGACCATAGCTGGTACACATGCGAGCGTTTACGCACTGCGACGTTTTACGCGCGCCTGTTTTCACACCTAGACACAAACGAGCGTCGACGCAACGCAGCCTCTCTGCAGAGCCGTGTGGCGCAATCTGACCGCAACGGTGTTCCTCTTGAGCCTTCTTGTGCTCTCTGGCTTTGTTGCTTTCATCCATGATTGAGCAAGGGGCACGTTCCGGAAACACCGGAGACAGCCCCTCACCAGAAACGGTCCCGACAGCTACCTGGTCCGTCACCTTTCGTGTTTCCCCGCTCAAGTGGTAACAAGGGCATTACTAGAAGCTACTAGTAACAAGGTGCATCGCTATTAGGAACAGGTGCCATTACTCCACATTTCTTGATTCCTTTTGACCTCCCCGAGCTCAGGACCAAGCTCAGATCATCCATAGTGTCACTATTCCTTTTCCAGGCCTAGCGAAGCTCTGCACTTGAAGAAGCTACTAGTAGCGTCCTTTGCTCCTAGTAGTAGGGCCAGGAGCCCCTAGAAGCTACTAGTAGCTACAATAAGAAGACCCACAAGAAAGGTTTCAGATTTGACATTTCGTACAGGCCCTGACAATTTCTTGGACACATTCAAAGTGATGCGTCGGCACATGCAGCTCGGCGACCTCGATGCCAACATGCCATGGAAATGCTCAACATGCCAACATGATTGTTTGCTCTTGGACACTTACACGTGACTGGCAGAACTAGTTGAACCCAAGCTGTGACGCCAAGGAACACTCATGCAGAGGTCAATGCAGGCTTCCTTTTCCAATTCAATGGTGGCGCAGAGGTTGCCAGCACCAGGCCAGAAAATGGAGTCAAGGGAGTTTGTTAGCATGGTTGGAATTGAAAAGGCTCTAGAATTGCTTGGACTATTGCACAAGGCAAACTCTCCTGTTGCATCAGCATCGGGTACAACCCTGCCGCCTCAACCATGCAAACATAGCAGGTATGTATTTGACCCACGCACTCCGGATGATGAAAGCAGTTTGGTCTACTAGTTTACTGAGGGGCTTTGTACTTTTGTATCAGTTTTAGTCTGATGCAAATCTTTGACTCGAATTTCCACATTCTTTTGTCGCTTGGCTTTGCAGCAGTTTACCGCCTTCAGGCTGGTGATTGGCAACATCGAGCACAAGCCATTTGTGGCAACAGAGACATCCAAGGCTAGAGCACCTTGTGAGGAACAACTACACATAAACTAAGAGTAATGAATCGAAGAGACATCTAAAGACAGTGTCCACATCGACACAGTGTCACAGTTTGTCGAAGTGAAGCCGCCTTGAGGCCTTGCTGGGGAAGAGCCTGGACTCTGCGACGATCTCAGCAGCCTCGAAAGTCCTGGAGCAAGAATTGAAGGCGACGCCATTTTTGCAGCAAACAGTAACATGAAGTATTCATCATTCTTTCTACCTTCCGGACATTTGTCATTCTATGTTTCAGCATTTATCCCACAGTTGTCCGAAAAGACGATGAAGTAGCATAGAGCTGACGACATTTGACGACAGTGACCAAAACGCCGATCAAAGAGAGTGGGGAATTTGCAGTTTGGTCAGGCCCATCTCATGGAGCCAACAGTTCCCGAGCCACCATTTGTGGTGGTCGATCCTCAATATCGTCTTAGTTTGGCACCTCGGCTTATTCAATTGGCTGCAAAATGAGGAAAAAGGGATGGTCGAAATGATTCTGAAGGTCTAGAAGTCTAAAGAAAAAAGCGGACGCCAAAAAACATGTGTGTCACATAGATTGGAGAGTGATCCGAGCTCAGCCGTTGCGCCTCAGGCTACGCAGCTCTTTGTGAAGGCGGCGCTCCGTGCGCGAATGAATCGCTTGGGCAGCCAAGCGCTCTCTGCCGATGAACGCTCCGCAGCAGAGGAACCTCAACGCCCGGCCAGCTGCGGAGCACAGCTACTAGGAGCAAGTGCGACGTTCATAGGACGCTACTAGGAGGAAGGGCATCGCTACTAGGAGCAAGGGCCTTACTACTAGGAACAAGAAGCTAGTAGAAACAATAAGTAAATAGACTTTAATTAGAATTAAGTGTAATTCAAAGCAAAGGAGGCTACTAGGACCTTTTCGCGCGCGCGCGCGGCGCGGGGGGGGGGGGGGTAGGAGCAAGGGCATCGCTACTAGGGGCTCCTGGCATCGCTACTAGGAGCAAGGACGCTACTAGGGGCTTGTGGCCATACTACTAGGAACAAGAAGCTACTAGAAACAAACTAAGTGCACTAAGTTTAGTCGTCTTGGCTAATTGGGCACTTATATAGTCAACTTAGTCTTTTGTAAAAGGTTCATGATGTATTCTCTGAACATTGCTCATGGTCTCTGAGTAAGATAATACAAAAGTGCAAAATATGTTGCAGAGATCTTCAATATCATGCGATGCTAGACTTGCATTCACTTCACTTCATACATGAAAGGAAAGGGAGAAATGAAAAGAGGAAGAAAGGATAGTCCAAAGACAAAAACTACAATATAATATAAATATAAATGCAATCTGAATGCATTCAAAGTGTTCCATGTAGTGTTCCAATGTGTTCCATATTGTTCCTTGCTGCCTTGCTCTTAGGCACTTCACTGTCGATCATTCTACTGCCCCTGTGGGGCAGCCGATGGAGAAGTTCCAGGGCTTGGACCAAGCCTGTGGACACTCAGCAGAATTCAAGTCAGATGACGTCGCGCAAAGCGACAACTTTGCGAAATAAGTTGTATATGGTTATATGGTACTACACCCCTTGTGATTGAATACAACTGCTGCAACATCGAGCATTGATTGTCTTTAAAAGTTAGTTGGCAGGTGTTTGTGTGATGGCTCGGCCTGTTTCAGGGAAATATGTTTCAGCTATTGCAAAGGCTTTACTTAGTTTTCCCTCTCGACAGCACCACTCCACAAAATCCATCCATGGTTAGATCGTAATGTCACTGGTTCGTCCATAAATGACTCTGCGTAGGCACCGCCCAGTTCGTGGCAGACACGCCTTTGCTGCCTCGAACTCTTTTTGCTGTGCCTATCCTGGCGGAGCGCGTGGCTCTCCTGCAGCGCTGGGCCTCCCAGAGCACAAAGAGACCGACACAAAGGAGTCCAACGATAACGTTCTCTTGCTCGTTCCGCTTCGAGTTCCGTGTGGCCTCAAAGGCATTGATGCGGCTGACTGCCTGGAGGTCACAGGCGCCACATGTGCAGCGCCACATCGCCATTTTGTCCTGCGGTGCCCGTGGTGCATGCGGTGCTAGGTGTTCACTCCTTTATCTCTGCGGCTGATGTGAAAGATGTGGGTCGAGCACCCAGATGTCGTTTTAGTGGACAAACAAACAACCCCTACTATGAACAAGGATACTTTTAAGCACAAGAAAAACTGTTGTTTGACCTTTTTCTTCCTTTCTTTCCATTTATCATGTTCGTTTGCTTCTTTAGTTGCTTTAGTTCTCTTGATTTATGTAGACCCTTCCCTGTTTTTCTTTGCTTTAATGGACAATTATTTTCACCTTCAGGAGTCTTAAGGAATGGACCGACTGAAACACCAAAGCGGAAAGCGGATCGTTTTCTGAAGGAGCTTCCAATGACCTGAAGACCACCTACCCGGGCAAGGCCATTTGAACAACTTTCTAGCACTTTCCACACCAACCGCCACAACCGGGTCGTGGCATCCAATATCTCAACCACGAAGCGCCAACGAAAATATAGTCATGAGCGTGGAACAAGGATACAGTACTTTTTACGACAAGACTCGTCAATGCACTGCAGATCTTCGCTGATGCTGCAGAGAAGACTTCACACTTGGGCCAGTTCATTGGCCTTGTCCTGGCAGAAAGCTTCGAGGCCTGTGTTCAAATGGGATGGCATTGATTTGTTCGTTTCAGAGACGTTTTCATACGTTTTCACGCCAGGCAGCACGTTCTGGTGCCCGGCTCGTCCATGTGGTTTCTTGGTGCAAATTGAGAAGAAGAACATGGTAGCTTTATTGTTCCTAGTAAGGCCAGGAGCGCTCCTAGTGGCGTCCTTGCTCCTAGTAGCGATGCCCATTGTTACTAGTAGCTTCTTGTCATCTATGAGCGGCTGGCAATCGAGGACTATGAGGAAAGCTCAGAAGTGACGACTACCATAGATGCAGCCGTCCAGAGAGGTGCAGTGAAGGACTCCAGCTGCAAAAAAGCCAATGCAGTTACCATCAAGACGAGTCGTAACACAAGTATTGTCCGTAGGAGCAATCCCGCTACTAGGAGCAAAGGGCATCGCTACTAGGAGCAAGGACGGGCTCCTGGCCTTACTACGAGGAGCAAAGGACGCTACTAGGGGCTCCTGGCCTTACTACTAGGAGCAAAGGACGCTACTAGGGGCTCCTGGCCT